AGACTGGTGACTGCTCATTCTATGTTCATTAACCCTTTCATGGATAGTGGTCACTACAGTGGACAGCTATTCAAAGGTTGTTTTCTTGTATTTGTGTCAGTGTTGATGGTATACTTGAACATAAACCACAACATTGGACACTGATGTGTCACTCCATACCCTGCTACCCACTGGTCCACCTAAGTGGACATGTAAAAAAACTCTTTGAAGAACATAAAGTAAAGTACATGTTTTTTTCATGCCTAAAGATGAATAAAATACTTAAGAAAAAAATCCTGATTGAGATTGTCATAATTCATGCATGAAAGGGTTTAAGCTTCATGGAGAGGGTTTCATGCCATCATGATGTTGGTGTTTTAAAACCAGGCGTGATGAGTGAGGGGCGGATCTGACGCAGAAACCAGTGGGCTCTGACAGATCAAAACCCCATCAGTCAGAGTGCAGATTCGCCCTTAAGCGTCATAATTTAAAAAGGTGACCTCGTGTTGTCATTAGTACGACTCGAAAATAGTGATTGAGACCATAAACTCATCAGGAAAGTGTTTACTTCAGTCACAGATGACACAAGAGAGTTGGACCGTCATTACAACCCGACTTCTATTTGCTGGACTGATTTCACAGGCGTGAGAGCTAGCTTTACTTTTTAGATACGAGCAAAAACAAGATGTGAAGCTAGGATTTTGTCATTTGTGGTTGTGTTGAGTTGAATTTTAAACACTTAAAGGTGTGTGGGTGTGTTCTCACTTTACAGTGATCAAGGTGTCGATTGCCCAGCTTGGACTTCAGTAGAAGCTTCATGCTTGCAAGACCATCTACAGTCATGTCATCATATATTTTGTACAGCATTATTCTAAGAGTCATAGCAAAAGAGTCAAAGAGGGAAAAAATGAGAATGAGAAACAAAGAAAAAAAAAAAAACAGACATCAAATTTTGAATGAGTATTTCAGTACTGCTGTATTAATAAACTGTACTATTAAACTGTCCTTACCTGAAGTTTGACAGGACACGTCTAGCATCTGTTTCCTCTAGATTTCCACTGCCTGCCTCTAAGCGTATGATGAGGTCTTCTCGATGGATAGTGCGGAGCAGCTCCTTGAGGAATGTATTGTTCTCCAGTAGACCTTTTTCACTTAACCTTGAGAACAGCTCTTTGGCCTGCCTGATCTGTAGGATAAAGTATTTTATTATTCTTTTTAAAAAGGTTCCCACAAAGGCCAAAGAAACTAGAGTAAATAGCATAACACATGTGGTGCTCACCTCCTCCAGATGTTTCCTACTGACAACATCACTACACAAGAAGCAAAGCGCAGCCACCTCAGAAGATTCCAGTTCGTTGTTTATGTCCAACAAAGTCTGAATATTTATCGTGGACCTGCTCCTATTGGAACAGGGCTGGAAGGAATGATGAATACACATAATTACAACAGATAATGTATAAAAGCTTAAAAGAGCATAACAAAAGGCTTTGAGATTATCTTGTCTTTCAATATTCTGTGACTAAATTATCTAAATTATTATTATATACTAAATTATTATTATTCGTCTGAAATAAGCACCGTCACATGTTGCGCTCCTTTTCCTTTCCCGTCGTCGAACATCGTTTCCCTTTGGCTGGATTTATGTTGTATACCTTTTGACTCGACGCCTGAAGGAATCACAGTGAAACAGAGTTACAGATCACAGTTAGCAACCATCTGCTCTCAGACACAGGATTTACATGTTTGTAATTACCATTGTGAGGTGGAGAAATTTCGACGGGCCTGGATACAAAGAGGGCCTCATTCCGTTTTAAGTCCTTCAGCTGAGGGAAAGTACTTTTAATGTCTTCATCAGTTTGCAGGAGGTTCAGGAAAGCTCTGCACGTATCGTCTCCTTTATTCATGATTTTATCCACGAGCTCAATAACGTGTCCCTCCGCATCTTCCCTGTTGATACTTTTAAGATTGTTGTATTCCCGTTGATTGATCAGCTCCTTCTCATAAACTTTGTTGAGGATCAGCCTGTAGTCTCCGGACAGAATCGTTTGAAGGGCTGTTTTGTTTCTCCTCACGGTGGCTTTGGCAGACATGCTGAGTCTACATTACAGACGTTTACACATCGTAACTCTATAGCAGCACAATATAATTTAGTTTTATTGTTTATTACACACAAACGCCGTTTGGGATTCCCAGAACACCGGCGCTCCCTCTTCCTGTTATCTCGGACGCTCCCGGAACTTAGGACGCTTTCGCTTTTAAAACTCAGAGAGAAACTAAGTCCCATGAAGACGTGGGTGCCACTGTGTAGTGTCCATAGACTGCTTCTGCTCAGGTGTTATCATGATGTCATCCCACACGCAAGTTTTGTGTCGGTTTAGACTTCAACAAGTGACGCGGGAGAAGAGTGCTGGTGGTTTCTCTGGTGGCAGCAGCCGTCACTGCGCTCTTTGCTGCCCCATCAGGAGCAACGAGGTAACAGCCTGGAGAGAGCAATCTGTCAGACAGTTGAGTGTATGATGAGGTGTATGATTGATATGACCCACAAGCCTAAACTCAAATGTACAAATGGGATTTGTGTGTAACGCAAATATGATCTCAAATATGATTTTTGTTTTGTTTCACTTTCAAAGAGCCTCATGAGCATACTAATGTCTACAAGTCAAAAATGGAGTATTGGAACACGCCCCATCTGTAGGAGAGAAAGGCTCATGCTGCTGAGGAACACAGGCAGTACTCTGATCAGCAAATTTC